GCCACTAGTAAAAATGTATTTTAAAGAATAACTATTCTTGCCAAAACCGGTTTGGCTCAGTGGATAGAGCTCCGGCCTGTGGACTGAAAGGTTCCAGGTTCGATTCCAGTCAGGGACATGTACCTTGGTTGTGGGCACATCCCCAGTAGGGGGTGTGCAAGAGGCAGCTGATCGATGATTCTCTCTCATCGATGTTTCTAATTCTCTATCCCTCTCTCTTCCTCTCTGTGAAAAATCATTAAAAAAAATAAAAAATAAAAAATAACTATTCTTAACTGCTACTCTAAAACCCCACTATTTCAGGTGAATAGCTTATAGGTCTTTACTAGTCATCTAGTGTTATGGAATCTTAGCATTAGCACTTTCGTGTACAATTTATCTGTCTTGCATGTTAGGCCCTCTCCTTGCTACCCTGGGAGCAGCGGCACCGTTCTCTAAATGAGCAAAGCAGGAGGTCATTGTCTTAGCCAAAGTCACACGGTCAAGACAAGATTCAGACAATGCGCCCCAGGTCTTCCTGGCTGGGCACTTTCGTGGCATGTCCTAAACTGACTGAGTCCAGGTCCCGTGTCTGGGGAGCATTCCTCACCTCCAACTCCTGCTCTTTCTAGCCACCCTGGGCTTCTGTCCTCTCATTGACGTAGCTCTCACTTTTCCATTGTTCCGTATTCCACTCTGCCTCGGAAACCTTTACTTCTTGCTGCTCATTGAAGCTTCATTAGGAGGCCTGTTCTGCAGATGAGCTCGCCATAGGCCAGTTGCACATTGACCCCAGAGCAGTCCATTTTCAAAGGAGGGATAACATGAGAAATGAGCCTTCCCAGGCCATTGCTGGGGAAGAGGTCTGTAGCTGCTGGCTTAGCTGAGTTTCAAGTCCATCACCCGGGGAGAGAACAAAGGGAGACTGAAGCCTGCAGATCTGGAGGGAAAGGCAGTGGTATTCCTGATGCCTTTCACTGGCTTAACTGTTGGCATAAAGTTGTCTGTAGTAACAGCAGAATCTGCAGAGAACAGAGACCTCTGTGCAAGCATCACTCTAGTTCATGGCTGGCCTAGAAAACTAGTTTGAGAATCTCTGATTCGATACGTAAAAAACGGACTCAGCCCAGCCAGCGTGGCTCAGTGGTTGAGTGTGGACCTATGAACCATGAGATCACAGCTCAATTCACCAGTCAGGGCACCTGACCCAGTTGCAGGCTTGCTCTGCAGTGGCGGGTGTGAAGGAGGTAGCCAATCAATGATTCGCATCATTGATGTTTCTCTCCCTCTCCTCTCCTCTCTGAAAGCAGTAAGAAAACAAACTGTTCCCAATCATTTACATTTTGATGAAAAGCTCATCCTCATTAGCATCCTGCGGCTTTGCACCATTTCTTGCCTATGATGAACTGAGAGGTCCAAACAGTCCTCAGCCAAAGAGGCCACCTTCTCCAGAAACGTCCTCCTCAAAACCAACAGGAAAGGGATTAAAAATGGCAGCAGAGTCGGTGGATACTGCATGGACATGCTCCCGGGAACAAAATGGAATTACAACTAAACCACAGAAACACTTCCTGAGTAATCAACAGGAAAGAACCCGGATACCTGAGGACCAAAGTGGAGACTGCAGAGAGACTGTATGAGCAGTATGCTGATTTCCTGAGAAAGCTAAGATCATTCAAATAAATAAGAAAAAAAAGTATATGCAAAGCAATTGAGGAAGGAAGACAACCTCAGGGCAAGATGGCAGGATGGGGCCCTGATGATCTTACCATTAAAAGCGCAGCAGTTAATCTGATTGTAAAGGCTCTTACTTACTATTAATATATGGTAAGAAGACCACAGCAGAATCCAATGTCCCAGGTTCAATGCACTCTACGCAACCATATTCCCAACTGCGCAGGCTCCCGCAGTTGACTTACCTCTGGCTCTTGACTTTCGTGAATCAGCAGTCTGGCTTAGTGCACAAGGACTAGACATGCCGATTCTCAAGATGTTACTATTTGCTAAGGAAGCAGACTTACCCGGGCCAACTGGAAGAGCGTGTACCACAACCAAAGCTGGTTTCTGCATGTGCAGAGATGACGCCATACCTCACAATCAAATCCTCCTAAATGAGGGTGTATCACAAGCTATACACTACCTCCTCTTGGGGATGGAGCTCACCATTTCCATGATGCTGAAATAGTCTAAAGGAGAAATAGCCACCAGACCTATTTCCATATACCACAGTGTTTAGATTAGAAGGTCATGAAACTATTGCGCCTGCAAACTATCCGAATCTCTTTAAAGTAGCCAACACCTGCCGAAACTGGTTTGGCTCAGTGAATAGAGCATCGGCCTACAGACTGAAAGGTCCCAGGTTCTATTCCCATCAAGGGCATCTACCTTGGTTGTGGGCAAATCACCATTAGGGAGTGTGCAGGAGGCAGCTGAAACTTATCGATGTTTCTAACTCTCCCTCTCTATAAAAAACATCAATAAAATATATATATTTTAATCAGAACCAGGAAATGGGGGGGAAAATATTTTGAGGACATTGAAGTTGTCAAAGAAAAGAATGACCATCTTCAAAAGACAATAAAACTGATGAATGAGGAAACATTAATAAAAACAGTATTTCAATATAATGGACAGTTTGAAGTTCTGAGGGCTGAGAAAACAATGCTAAACTGTAAACGGGAGAATGAAAAACAAAACAGAGGAAGACTGAAGCAGAAGTTGAATCATACCGGTCTAGACGGGCTACTGTTGCACAGCATTGTCAGACATCAAAAAGAGATCTAAAACGAGGTGGCTGAGTGGTTAAGGCGATGGACTGCTAACACTTGCTTTCCAGTCCATCGCCTTAACAAGAGATGAATGGTATTGTTGCAGGACAAAATGAATTTTGATATGTCTAACCTAAAATATAAGGAGCTTCTCAACAACTTTCGAAAGTGGAAGTTTCATCCACAATAGCTTAGAAATGGAGCTTTATCACACAAGAAAGGCTCTCAAAGAAAGTACAATGGTTTTAGAAGGTGTAAACAGGGACATCAGCCAAAAACAGGGTCAAAAGCAGGAAACTGAACACCTGTTCAAGGAACAAGGAACGTGAACAGACACTGTAAAACAGGAATCATCGCAGAAGAGCATCTCACCTACAGAGTGAAAATATGTTGCTTAGACAGCAAGTGGATCATGCTCAAAACAAAGCGAACAGGGGAGAAAAGACAACAATTAATACCCATGATACAAATACTTAATGCTGAAAGTGAAAAGCATTTCTTATGTTGATATTACTAATCAGCAAATGGCATCATCTTGAAGGAATGTATCAGTAGGAAATGTTACACATCCGGGTGAAGAACGCCTCCCCAGGAGTTAGCGGTGGAAGCACTCACTGCTGAGGAAATACAAAGACTGAAGGATGAGAGAGAGAAGTGGAAACAGTAAACTCGGGACACATGTGGAAATGCCAATGGCAGAAATCAGTGAAGTAGAAGAGCATCGACTGAAGACTGAAGAAGGCGCGTTCCATAGTGTAATGGTTAGCACTCTGGACTCTGAAGAAAGCGCAAAGGATGTAGGAGACTAATTGACACGAGTCAACTCATTTTTACCGAGCTCAGAAGCAGCTAGCCGAGGTGTGCTGCTGCTTGCAGAAACAGCTAAACAGATGACTGAGCACTGCTAAAGCGAGACCAGTCCTGGAGACACCTTGTGCTGGGAATCCTAATCACAGAGTGTATGCGATAGGAAACTTGGTGATTCCAACTCTGAGAATCTTTTATGAATTAAATAAACGTGTCATACTAAAATGATTAATTTGTTTTTAAGTGAAAATTTTTGACATTTTCTTACATGAGAGAACATTCTTAATTGCTACTTGACGTGCAGCATTTTTCAGTTTTTATATCTTGCTGAGCAGTTACACATGTTTACAGTTAAATGAAAGAAATCTTTAAATTTGAGTTTAAACATAAAAAACAGGGAAATGTGAGCTCTGTGTGTCCCCTGCTTTGTCCCATCTTTATCCTCCTCAAAGTTACCCCCATCTTGCATTTGGGTGGGCATCTCTTATGCCAGAAAGACAGGAGAGCGCCCTTTGGAAGTAAACGCATGCCGACAATTAGTATCCACGCCGTTCCATGTCTCTGGCACATACAGCTGTCTTATTAGGGCTAAACGGGTCCATGGGTCCACACTCATGAGCAAAATCACCACAGACCTGGGACCCTGAAAACCAGCCCTTGCATGCTGGGCTTTCAGACGTTCTCTGTGTCTGTTTAAAAAGCCCCACAATGTGTCTGGGGAGACATGGCATGGAGGACAGGCAGGACTTTCAGCCCCATCACTTTCTTGGCCCTTGGCCGTGTCCTCATGCAGCGAAAAAATGCGCAGCCACGCTGGGCAGAAGCGGTTTCTCTCCACAGCAGCACTTCACCTCGGTCCCTTAGACTGTCTCACAGGCACCCTTGGCGGGCGCTTTTCTCTTCCTCACTTCTTTGATCCTGGAGTTAAATCACACCAACTCAAAGCAGCTTTCTGGCTCCTTCTCGAATCTCTGCCTGGTTCAGAGGAGGCCCAGACCCCTCACCTCCGCTCCGGCTCCACGGCCCCCGGGCCTTCAGCAGCCGCTCACACCCGATGGGCCCGGCACCCACGGGGGCTTTTCCCGGGTGGCAGCGGCTACCAGGCTGGCCCGGGTGCCAACGTGAGTCTGACCGGGGGTGACGGCGGGGCTGGGAATGTGGGGAACATCACAGCTTCCCGAGTGAACCTGCTCAAGGTGGAGGTGGACCCCAACTTTCAGGCGGTGCCCACCGGGACAAGGAGCAGATCAAGACCCTCAACAACAAATCGGCTTCCTTCATGGGTGAGGTGCGGAGCGGGAGCAGCAGAATGAGATTCTGGAGACCCAGTGACGCCTCCTGCAGCAGCAGACGACTCGCAGTACAATGGCCAACATGTCGGAGAGCTACATCAACAAATTCCAGCGGCAGCTGGACACGCTGGCCCGGGGCAAACTGAGGCCAGAGGCAGAGTTAAGCAACATGCAGGGGCTGGTGGAGGACTTGAAGAATTAGTCCGAGGATGAGATCAGCAAGCGCACAGAGATGGAGAATGAATTTGTCCTCATCAAGAAGGATGTGGATGGCCCTGGTCGGTATGCTCAGTGGTTAGAGTGTCCGCCCATGGACCAAAGGGTCTTGGGTTCGATTCCCAGTCAAGGGCATGTACCTCAGTTACAGCTTCCCCAGTCCCTGTGGGAGCATGTGCAGGAGGTGCCAATCGATGTGTGTCTTTCACGTCAATGTTTCTCTCTCTCTCCCCCACCTCCCTCCCTTCCCCTCTCTGTGGAAATCAATGGAAAGAATATCTTCAGGTGAGGATTTTTTTAAAAAGAAGAAGAAAGATGTGGATGAAGCTTACGTGAGCAAAGCAGAGCTGGAGGCCCTCCTGGAAGGGCTGGCCGATCAGATCCACTTCCGCAGGCAGCTGTATGAAGGATGCGTGAACTGCAGTCCACACCTCCCACACATCCATGTGCTGTCCATGGGCGTCATCCCGAGGTCAAGGCCCAGCACAGGGAGATCCCCAACTGCGCTGGGCTGAGGCTAAACCATGGACCAGATCATGTATGAGGAGCTGCTGACGCTGGCTGGGAAGCACGGGGTGACCTGCCTCGCACGAATGCTGAGATTTCCGAGAAGAACCAGAACATCAGCCAACTCCAGGCTGAGATCGAGAGCCTCACAGGCCAGAGGGCTTCCCCGGAGGCCCTGTCGCTGTTGGTGAGCAGCATGGGGAGCTGGCCATCGAGGATGCTTGGACCCCAACGCCAAGGAGGGTGGGCGCTAAGGGGTGGACGAGGCAGGACACATGCTGGCTGGCTCCTTGTGCTTCTCAGGGCAGCACTGGCACCTTCGGAGCTCTACTGATTATTTCTGAGAGAGAGAGAGAGAGAGAGAGAGAGAGAGAGAGAGAGAGAGAGAGAAAGAAACAGAGAGAGAGAGAGAGAGAGAGAGAGAGAGAGAGAGAGAAAGAAAGAGAGAGGGAGGGAGGGGGAGAGAGAGAGAGAGAGAGAGAGAGAGAGAGATGAATTTGTTGTGCCACTTATTTATGCATTCATTGATTCTTGTATGTACCCTGTGCCCTGACTGGAGATTGAACCTTCAACCTTGGCATATAGGGGTGACATTCTAACCTAGTGAGCTCCCCAGCCAGGGCCTATAATTCCTCACTATCAATAAAAGAGAGACCCCTTTTGATCATGAAAAACTCATGGGACAGCTTTTTGTCAGTCCATACATCCCAGCCAAATAAATTGGGAATCAGCAAGCATTTGACTGCCATTTAGAGAGAAGAAAAATAAGCCCCAAGTTAAACCTACGACTGGTAACACAACAAAAGGAGAAAAGGCTTCTTTGGAAAAAGTGGTTATTTATCAAAACGTTCCAAAGCGGCAACTGTAGTAACCACAGTGAGGCTCAGTCCCTCAGGCCCCAAGGCCAAACGCCCGGACTGAAGAAGCGCCACGGCTAGGAGAGCCCACTCAGTGAGACCCTCTGCAGATCTCTGACTCCTTCCTGCTCTGCCTCCGGCGCGGAGGGAGCCCGAGGCGAACTCTCCACTCCTCAGGGTGCCCGTGTTCTTGCCACCATCACAGATGGCATGGCTAACCCCCACTGTTGACAGGCCCTCAACTGGACACGCCCTTCTCCATTTACCCACCGATTCTTCAGTGTGGCCCCTGCTCCCACATATCCCAGCCCGCACACCAGAATGCTGGCTACGGAAAACCACTGTGTCCACCCTTGCTCTTTGCTTATATTTAGGCAGGCATCTGGGACGCAGACTGAGATTTGCCGCGTTGTGTGCCAATGTGGAAGGTTCGATAAAACTATGGAATAACACTTGGGCCCTAAAATACAGAAGGGAAAAGCAACTGTTGTCAGATGCCTACTTGGCTTTCATTTCTTGTCATTTCTTTTCTTTTCAGCTTTATCTAAGGAAATGTACAAAGCTCCTGACTGCATGCAGGTCAAGTGTACCATTGCGTAGCAGGGTGGTGAGGGTCAGGGGGTCGGTATGGGCTCTGAGAAAGGAGGAATATGGGCTTGCCAAGCCCCTAAAACTGGGAGCCAGAGACCTGGGCAACAGAGGATAGCACTTCGTACTTCCTGGTTGTGTTTTTCTCACCTGTGAATGGAGATTAAAATGCATGTCCTACCCACCCTTGGGTTGGAAGGGAGTAATATAATTGGTCAAAACATTGTTTTGAAAAATAAGCAGCACCGTCTTTCTATAAGTAGCACAGCATTAGTCCTTATGATGTGCCCAGAGCACTGACAGAGACCGTGTTCAAGATGTGTAGGCATGAAAGCACATTTTGCACATTATTAAGTAGATGCCAATAACCTAATATGTAGGAAAATATTCAAAGCAACCGAGTGTCCGGTGGGTAGAAAGCCTGGAGCTTCAAAGCAAGTGGGAGCTGGACGTCTAAGTACACAGGAGCCCTCCCTTCCACGAGAAGGGCTGGGCAGCAGCCGCTGGTGACAGAACTAGAAACTCTCAGGTTCCAAATAAAACCTTCGTAAAACAGTATCGTTTGTACTCTTTTTATAAAACTGCAAAAACAAACAAAATAAACATGTATCTTCCTAGCCAGTGTGCTCAGTGGTTAGAGTCTCATCCCACAGACTGAAGGGTCCTGGATTCAATTCCAGTCAAGGGCACGTCACTCACTTGCAGGCTCGATCCCTGGCCCCAGCCGGGGTGCATGTGGGAGGCAACCAATCAATGTGTCTCTGTCACATACGTGTTTCTCTCTTTTCCTCTCTCCCCCTCCCTCTCTTCTACTCTCTCTAAAAGTCAATGGAAAAAATATCCTCATGTGAGGATTAACAAAAATAGTGATGATAATAATAATGCAGTTACATTATTTGTTTGCAATTTTATCATTGATTAAAAATAAAATATTAAATAAAAATTTTAAATTTTATTAGCAGGCAAATTCCAACTCACCACAATCTGTGTTTGTCAGACATTCCGTGTCAAATGCAGTTTGATTGTCTTGCCCACAGTCTCAATATTATTTTTAAATTGGCAGAGGTAGCAGGCCAAACAGCTAGGTAAAATCCTATGAGTGGAAACACAGAATTCAATTAGTGGCAAAGGAGTTACTAGAGTAGGCAGAAGAGGCAGGCCACTTGCTACTTTTTTTTTTTTTTAATATATTTTATTGATTTTTCACAGAGAGGAAGAGAGAGGGATAGAGAGTTAGAAACATTGATGAGAGAGAATCATCTATCAGCCGCCTCTTGCACACCCCCTACTGGGGATGTGCCCGCAACCAAGGTACATGCCCTTGACCAGAATCGAACCCGGGACCTTTCAGTCCGCAGGCCGAGGCTCTATCCACTGAGCTAAACCGGTCCCGGCCACTTGCTACTCTTGAACACTGTAAATAAACAGAGAGGAGGATAGACGTGCCCAACAGGAGGTAAGTGGGCAGGGGTACAGGATGCCTAGAATAAAGGTGATAAGGATTCGGAGTGGGTGACACTAATGCATAGTTTAATTCTATCTCCCTCTCCCAACCCAAAGCCTCATTTTGGGTTGAGAGTCCACAGAAAGAGAAAGACTTCTCAGAAGACTCTGAATAAGTCGCCAACTAATGGAGTCCCTTTCTCAATTCCTAACTGTGAGTGGTAAATATATACGAAATTACTTTAGGCATAAAAACATTGTGTGGCAGGAGAGATCAACCAAAGGACTTGCAGGCATGCATATAAGCCTAACCAATGGACACAGACACCAGGAGGGTGAGGGCATGTGCTGGGGGGAAGAGGGGTGGGGATAAGGACACATATGTAATACCTTAATCAATAAATGGGGAAAAAGAAGAAAAAATACTGTGTAGCTAAATAACAGATTACAATGGTCAAATCTGGGCAATTTGAACATTTGAAAGAAAAATGATAAGGTACAACATAATTTAAAGAAGAGCATAATGATACTCAAAAAGAAAAGGGGAAGTTACCCTGCTTCCCCGAAAATAAGACAGTGTCTTACATTAATTTTTGTTCCCAAAGATGCGCTAGGTCTTATTTTCAGGGGATGTCTTATTTTTCCATGAAGAAGAATATGGCACACATTTATTGTTAAATGAAAATAAAGGAAATTTATTACCTGTATACAGTACGGTAGTATGGTAGTTGTCAACACAAACCAGACAAACTGTGAATCCTACAGTATCAAGAATTTACTCATTTATTCAGTGACAATCATGTCATCATCTTCTGGAACATCATCATGACAATCCAATTCCTGAATTTCCTGGTGAATTTCTTGTGACTCCATTTCTTTTAGAATCAGTGGACCAAATCTCTCATGTTTAGCCTAGGAGGGGGCCTTATTTTCGGGGGATGCCTTATATTTCACTCAGAAGGAAACCTGTAAGTAGGTCTTATTTTCGGAGGATGTCTTATTTTGGGGGAAACACAGTATTATTTATAGAATAAAGCTGCCAGCTAATAAATGTATAAGGAAGAATAGAAGTAGAATTAAAAAAAAAAAAGTGTCCTTTTGTAACCTCCAATAACTGATTCAGACCCAGATTACCATTGATGCACACTGGTAAAAAGTTGAGAGCAGACACACCTGGGCCTGCAGGGGAGGGCTCAGCAGAGGAGCAATGGCTTCTGCCAGCTCTGTCTGGCAGAAAGCTGCCCCTCCAGCTTTCCGTGTGAAGCAAGGCAACGCAGTTCCTCCCCGCACAGCCCTGGCACCTCCTGAGGGTCTGCCCAGAGCTGGAGCTCAGAGCCAGCGAGGCCTCTACCAGCTTAGAACTTCAAGTAAGGGAGAACCGAAGAGGCTTCTGCTTGGGACCAAGACGGAGAAACAGGGCCAGATTTATTCGACCTGTAACTACTAACAAGCTGGGCCTCACACATGATTCCGGATGCTGGACTCTGGCAGCACAGGACAGCCATCCCTCATGGAGGAGGAACAAATGAGGCAGGAGGAGAGGGGCACCACGTGGACATCTGAAAACACATGAAGGAATGAAGAGCAACGGAAAAGCTGGAACTTACCTGGTCAACAGCAGAGGTTTTGTCCAGGAAACTGGAAAGAGCAAACCCTGCGGCCGCATCTTGATTTCTATCCGCCACACGCATCGCCGCGCCCCTCCCGTGGACAAGCCTCCTGGAAGAGGCAAGAGTTCACTCAGAAGCAGAGCACGTGCAACAACGCTTCACAACAAGATACACCG